CCCTGATACACTCAGTGGCTAGGAATAGCGGCTGGGAGTTACATGAGCCTCATAGCAGTGGAGTTGAAGATGGGGCCACTGACCCATCACTCTCTCTGCAGTACAGAGCTGAAAGGCATATCTGCGTGATCAGCACACCGTAATGCTATACGTCCTTTGATTGACTGCCTTGAAGAAAGGGAAGAGAAATAGGATATACTCGGGGTGGGGCACTCTTCTTCTGAGCACATCAACACTTTATACTTCCCTCTAAAATTATAATTAGACTCCATGAGAAAAGAACAGAGCCAAATCTCTTGGCTTAGAAATCAGTTCAGGAATGAACATTGACATCTGCCAATAGAAAGTTAGCTATGGCAAATGGAGAGATGATTTATAGAAAACCATTTTCAACCTATGGACTGTTAAATGGTAAATGGCTTGTTCAGTTACTTCCTTTCTAGTTGCAGCTAGTTAAAACTGAGCTTCTTACTTCTTCCTGACCAGCGCTGACTATTATCAGCCTTACTAGAGACTTTCTGGGTCCAGGGCTCACACGTGGCAGCAACAGTAGCTAGGGCGACTGCTAGCTATCACAGGGGTTGTCAGGTCTGGACCCTTTCCTTGAATGTAGCATAGCTGTACAGTCCCTTGGTCTGAGTTACTTATCACACAACTTTAAGCCTTGTCCAGGTGGTGGTGATCACTCCCATCTCCTCTCTTTTAGGTCTGCGCTGAGGCATTGCTGAACTGGCTAAAAATCAGGTCTTTCTCTCTCTCACTTTTTCCTTTCTTTCTTTTTTTTTTTTTTTTTAGTTTTGGTTTTAGTTGAGGTATACATATACATATATTTTTTTTCTTCCAGTTTTACTGAGATAATATCAGCTGTCTTCTCCAATGGACCATTTCTGCTGAGGTGAGTATATTCTGCAAACAGGTCTCTTGATCAGTGTCCAAAAGTGAGGGTACCACTACCATTTAAAAAAAAAATGAATGTTAGTTATTTCAGTAGTTCAAAATGGAGTATAGAGAGAGGGATATATGGAAATAGAGACCAAGAATAATGTCTTCCCCTTCTTTATCTCTCTGCTTTCTCTGTCCTTGCTTCATACCAAAATTAGGCAAAATGATTAAATGTAAGAATTATGACTTTATACAATTACTGCCTCCCTAATAAGTGATTTTTTAAAAATATGCATGTTTACACAGTCTCTCATAAATTGCTTTTTGTTTCTGTAGAAAATAAGAGGGAAATAAAAGTTAATAAAAGGATGCAGCACAAATTCTGAGCAGCACAAATTCCCAATTTACTAACCTTGCTATCAGTACTCAAATTATGTTATTGGCACCCTCTACATAAAGTGTCTCAAGCTAGCCCATCTATAAGAGGCAGACTGGTCGGCAAGGGAAGTATTCTATTTGGGGCAACTTAACATTGAAGAACAGAAGCTAAGACAGAATTTAATAAAACAGTCATAAATAGCATTTGCATAGACCTTCAATTTATGAAGTATATTATATATAGTGTCTCATTAGTCCTTAAATATTATTATCATTGCTATTTAAGTAACAGATGCTGAATATCAATCAGTAACTAAAATAGCAGAGCTGGTCTTAAACCTAGATTGTAGACTTCTTACTTCCTTAATCTTTGCAGGTCATTAACACTTTACCCAACATGCATGTGTGCTATCTTTTTCTTTTTTATAGCCTCCACCCACAGGTCAGATCATTACATTAGATTGTAGTTGAGATACGTTAACCATCTAGGGAAATGAAGTCTTAGAATTTAACAGAGTTGACCACTATTTTCATTTTACAAGACCCTCCATACTACATACAAATCACCTGCATTCCGTTACTGCCTTCTACTTGTCAGAACTCCTTACACACTCCTGCATTCTACTTAAGGCTAGATACTTTCTCACAGATGAACACACTTAAATGTATTCTTCTTTCAAAATATAGCTATCCCAACACGTTATATAGCACAATAACAAATACCATTTTTTGGAGTTATTCCATCCTGTTGTCCCTGCAATATACTGCTTTCCCCATTCCTCATTGGCCCAGAAAATTCACCAAAATCCTTGTAGGATTTTTGTTGCAAAAAGTGACAAGCTGAATCTAAATTAATAAGAAAACAAACAATTTAACAACAAAAAAGAGAAAAATACTTTGCTGCTTCATCAAGAAGCTGTATGGAGAGTAAACTAATACAATTAAGATACCACCATACACCTATTAGAATAGCTAAAATTTTAAAGTCTGATCATATCAAGTGTTGATGAAGATACAAAGCAAGTGGATATCATTTATTTCTGGTGAGAATACAGTGTGTCACAACCATTTTGGAAAACAGTGTGGGAGTTTCTTGAAAAGCTAAATGGATACTTAGCATTTAATTCAGCAATCTTCTTCCTTGGATATTTACCCCCAAATGAGTGAAACTTGAATGTTCACACAAATAAAAACTATATATGCAGGTTTATAAAGGGCTTATTTATAATCACCAAAACCAAGAAATTACCAAATATCCTTCAACTGGTGAACGATGTAGGAGCAGAAAACTCTTCCATGTACTTTGGCTGGTCTCATAATTAAACTGACATCAGACAGATTAACAGAAGAAAACCAAATTTTCTATGTGTGGGAGCCTCATTAAAATATACTGCTCCCTGTCAGTCAGGTAATTAAGGCTTATGTACCACCCGCCAGAGTCTAACCCGCCAACCTCTCTTGCTAGGCGTAAATACCTGCCTAACCGGTCTTCTCTAGCGCACGCCCTCTTCCCTCTCACCCTTTCTCCACACTGCAGGCAAAAAATCTTTGCAAAATGCAAATCTGATATTTCAGCCTAGCTCCTTGAACTCCTAAATGGCTTCCCTGTATTTTTTAAGATAAAGAGAAAACAAAGGCTTTCTCTTGTCTGGCCTTCCATTCCTTTCCAGTCTCATCCAATATCTATGTTCCCTGGTTCTGAACTCCCAACACACTGGCCTTTTAGTTTTGTTACCCATCTCAGGAGCCTCCCAGACCCTTTCAACCAGCTGGAATGTCCTTTTTTTTTTCAATTTAACTCTTACTTGCCCTAGATTCTGATGTCAGCTCAAAACTCTTTCTCAGAGAAAACCATCCCTTAGGTGATGGACTCAGAAATGAGAAGTAACACCTTCTGGAGTGATTTACTTCCTCCAGGCCATTCAATTCTAGGCATTCCGGGCCATGAACAAAGATGACTTCAAGCTAATTCTTCTAAGGCCCATTTTCTTCATTTTGTCCCCTCACTACTGGAAGTTCTTTCTCTTCTTATCTTTCAAAAACTGCCGGTTTACAGCTATATCCTTCAGGTAATGGTGACTGAAATGTTGTGCGATTACTGTTGTTCTTATGACCTTTGGCCTCCATGGTCTAAAACAGGAGGGTGAAAGTGGGTGGGTAGAGCTCAGTAATAGGGCATGCTTAGCATACAAGAGGACCTGCCTTCAATCCTCGGTACCTCCATTAAAAACCAAAAAAACAGGAGGGTGGGGCATGGGGTGGGGACACAATTCCTGCTAAGCAATGTAAACAGAATTTACTAGAGAACTTCTAAAATAGTATTTTGGAGGGAATTAAACATGACACTTAAGGAGGAAATAGAAAATAGAATGCTGGGTGCTTAACCCAACAGAGAAACTTTTTCTTTCTAAGAGGTAACTCACAGAAATTTTCCCGGAGAATATTGAGTAAAATTAGATAGAATTTAGTAATAAATTAGATAGGACAGAAGTTGATGTTTTAATGTTGATTCCTAAATAACCTGCAATCCATCTCCTTTTATACTTCACTTCAAACCTTTTCATTCCTCATTCACGAAATGTTTACTGAGCACCAACTATGCGTCACAGGCTGTTCTAGGAGGTTGTGATACCTAAGTGCACAAAACTGACAGAAATCCTTTTTTATACTATTAGAGAAAGAGAAACAGTAAATAACAAATTAACATATTAAGTTAGAGGAGATGTGTGATGAAAAAACAGAAAGTAGGGTAAGGGGGACTCAGGGGTGGAGAAACAGCTTATGATTTTGATAGGGGTTCAGAGTATGCCTTTTCGACAAAGTAAAATTCAAAAAAAGACTTAGTAGATTTACCATATTGACATGTGGGTGCATTTCCAAGCAACAAGGCCCTAAGGAGAGAGTGTATTGGTCATAATCAAGAACAGCAAAGGCAGGATGCCGGAGATGAGGCCAGAGATGAAGGGGCATGGACGCTGTACAAGACACTTTTTAGGTAAGGCCTTGGAGGGCATTACAAGGACTTTGGTTTTTCCTCTGAGTAAATGAGATCCACGGGAGGGTTTTGAGCAATGTCATGATCTGACTCACATTCCAAAAGGATCATTTCACATATACAAATGAGAACTTTTTATTGAAATTTTTTCAAACACAAGTTGGTATAACACCTGTATTTTCTGTACCTCACTGACCAACTGTGAATGATTAATGCAATATTCTTTCTGTGTACTCTGTGTCTATAATCCTGTATAACCACAACACAGTTATCACAACCAAGACATTTAATATTGCTACAGTATTGCTCAATATCCAATCAACATTAAAATTTCCCCAATTATTCCCCAAACACCCCTTTTACTAGGGGAACTATAATTTATCTTTCAATCAGGACATTAAAAAAATTATATATAACTTACACACAGGTAGAACATAGACATCTTAAGTGCATAGCTCTGTGAATATTTACACATGGATACGCCTAAGTAACTGTCCCCCAAAACAAGGTAAGCTCACTCACTTATGCCGAGACAACAGGGATAACCAGGACTGATTGCTTGTGAATAGATTCATATTAAATCTTTCTGGCAAGAATATTATCAGTGACCTATTTGTATCACATCAAAACACACTTCTGTTTGTATCATTACCTGGTAATGATGAGTTTGCTTATTTGGTTAAGGTGTACGTAACCAAATTTCAGTTTCTGTCTATAGGCCTCATCATGCCCAATGTAGAAATTTACTCCATTCGGTGAATTCGTATTTTTTAAATTTCCCCATCTCCTTCCTCCTCTGCTCCTTTAGGGCTGGGGATCTTGGGCAGGATGGCCACATCCTCTTTCGCTTCCTGTCAGGCAGTTCACAGGCTTTTGCTCAGGCAGGAAACATGGAGAGTGTGGAGCAGCCTGAGTCCAGCTGTCAAATGGCACCATGGAGTTGGCTGTAGTCATTTCTCTGTCATTAATTATAATCACAGCCGCATCCCATTTCCAGGTATTGTAATCTCATTGCAGACTTTTCGTTAATACTTTATTCCTATAAAGCAAATGAAATGTTTTAGGATTGAGATGAAATATCAAGTTGCATTCTTGAAAATAACCAAGAAACCCATTCCTGGAATGCCAATAAAATTGCCCTTAAACTTCAGGATCCTGAGTGGGAAGCACGTGGCTACATTATCAAGGAATGACAATCATCCAATGTATCATGTCTCTCTAATATGTTCCTTTCCTGTGCAGCTCATGGGCAGGAGAGGCCCCAGATAGAACTTTAACATTTGCCCAGTGGCCCACATATCCCATTAAAGGGGTATCCAAAGGGACCTCAATTCTCTACAAGTTGCTCGGCATAGAATTGTGGTGAGAAGCAGGACTGCCAAAACGGGAAAAAAATGAGTGTACACTCACAGACTAGGTCCTATAGGATGTGGTAATTATGACAGTGCCTGAGGGTGGCCACTGCAGGCTGGTGGATGGGGAGTCTAGCCTAAGAAGCCCACTCACTCCAGGCTTCTATCCTCAGCCAGCTGTCCTAGACCTTGGTGTTCAGTCGTCGTGACACCAAAGGTAGGTCCCCAGCAGCCCAACAGAGAGCTCACGATGAAGCCTAGGGTGGTTCCTGGACAACTGTGGGGGAGCAGATGGATCCCTGGAAACCAAGTCTGGGCTGCACCAAGTCTCTCTGTTCAGAGGGATGATTTTTCCATCCTCCTACTCCCCTAGTCCCTCCCCCAAGTAAGCCCAGCAGCACTCAGCCCTCTTTAGGGCTGACAGTTCCCTTTGAGCATCTTACTGTTCCTCCTCTCCACTTGTGCCTTTTAGAGAACACCTCCATTTACAGCCTCTACTCTCCCTCCCTTGTTCAACCAACACCAAATTATCTCCGTTCTTTACTGCTTTGAATCTCTTACGTTTTCCAAGCAAGTATGTTATCGGTACCTTCTTCAGCTTCATTTGATATTACTTAAGACAATTTCCCCTTGGAAATTCTCCCCATCGACTTCATATTTCAGCTTTTCTCTTTGTTTCTTTTCTGTCTCCTTTAACATGCCCCTAAAATATTGCTGTTCCTTGAAGCTCTGTCCTCAGGCCCAGTGAAACTCTTGTCCTTATCAATGTTTAACTATTAACTACCAAATACCTATCTAGAAGCCAGGTGTCCTTTTTTGGCCCCACACAAGGTGCCAGGCCCTTTAAACTTTCCCACAAGATTTTTCTCATTGACCTTATCCCCTTCCCTCCTAGGCAGTGTAAGCCTCAGTCCATTTACTTGCTTAACGCGCTTCAGTGGCCCATCACCCAGGGATGATGTGCCTGACTTCAGACTCCTTGTCCCTTCCTGACTACTGGAAAGTGTTCAAAAAATTTTGCACATGAACGTTTGTCTTTAAAACTTCACATAAGTTTCCCCAATAGGTTCTCAATAAACATAGTGGCCTTTCGGAATAAAAGTTCCTTTACAGGCATATAAACTTCTTAACATCTTAATTTTAGTACTATAGGTGGCTTTTGCATACTTTCTGGTCCAATGGCTCCTCATTTTAGAGATATGGAAACCGAGGCCCAGAAAAGTTGTGTCATGTGTCATGTGTCACGTTATTGAAATGACTGCTGCTAGAAACAGGACTGCGGTCCAGGACTGCTCTTCCTTGACCCACCACTGCTGTTGCTACTTCAAAACTGTACCCTACCCACACCCCACCCAAGTTTGTCAGTTTTAGTGGCTTATTTTAATCAAAATTTTCCCTATGCACATTTAGGAAGAGAAATCTTAACTAATTAGCTCGTACAAACTAGAGAACAACAAATTTATCCAGCCCCTTCCATCAGATGTATTCCTCACCATTTTCTTTAGTATGTTGGTTTTAATTTGGCTTGAAATAAAAATTACAGAGAACAGCCTTTTGTAGACTTCCTTCTGTTCTCTTCATAATTGTGCTTCTAAAACTTGTTTGGTGACTACAAAGCTACTTCATTGATCATATCACATAACTAATAAAACCTATCAAAAGAACACCACTGGCTACCAGGTAAACTAAACTTTCCAACATTTAAAACTCACTATAATTTGATCACAAACTAATGATATTACTCAAAATCTAGAATGCTCAGTTTGGGCCAATTTTTTTTTTTGCATATATCATGTATTTCCATCTTCATGACTTTGTTCAAACTAACCCCACTTGCTGGATCAATACCCACTTTTTTTTATACTTGCGACATGCAAGAGACAGTGCCCAGAACTGTAAATGCACTAACATTTAATTTTCATGTTATTGTTAGATAGGACTCTACCCATTTTATAAATGAGAAAACCAAGATTTTTTTTTCCCACCATATCCTGTCACACAGAACTATTTACAATTTCTACTTTGTCCTAAGTTCTTTCACAGCCTTGACACTGGTCCCTATACTGAAAAATGACCTTACTCCTCCTTTCCATCTAGTCAGTTCTCTTAAGAAACCTCTTCTTTGATGCTGGTCATCACTTGGTAATACAGCTGTTTACATTCCAGTTATTAGGCTGTAGGCCACTTAAATGAAGGGTTTTTTTTTTTTTTCGCTAGCCATTATTTCTGTGTAGGGCATACACCTGGAATATAGTAATTACACAATGTTGCTGCTCCAAAATTATGGGTTTCCAGATAGAAGCAGTAAGCCCTGACATGAAAATGGTCTTTTATCTAGGGATACACTTATTTTAGGTAATAATTTTTATGAAACTCTTTACTGACAACTTGTGCTAGAAATACAGGACTAATTAAGATTAATAAGTATTTTCTTCCTCTCCCATAAATAAAACCAGGTGCCCACTTGTAGTTTGTAGACAAGTACCAGGTCATTACCTTCGAACGCATTTGGGGCACAGCATGTTGTCCTCCAGGTGTGGGGGTGGGACGTTGCTGGCAGGTAGCAGGAAGAGTGCAGACACTGTCCTTCGTTTTTCAGGAACCCAAGGCTGTCCAGCATGAAACTGTAAACGAACCCAGCCCTCGGTGTTAGCAGGGAGACTTCTGCCATGGACCACGCACCACCTGACCCCTGGGGAAGAGAAGACAGATAAGTATGAACACAGCAAGGCCAAATTCTAATGTTTGAGATTGCACTGTGACCTTTGACTCTACTGCCAGCTCTCAGATATGAACGCTGGAAACCTAACTTGACCTATTCTACCCTGTTCTTCTTTAGAAAACAAGGCAAAAACAGTTCCTGTTAAATCTTTAAAAAGAAACAAAAATACATTTGGAAATAGTATAGCAGCAGGTGGGTAAACAGATGATAGGGCAGGGGAGGCAAAACTTTACCTCTGCCCACCATAGGTTTTCACCTGGGTCTCTTAAGAAAAAGATTAACAAGACAAAAACAGTTTATCAGTTCCTGCAGCACACATCATGCAGGAGAAAACACAAAAAACGATCTCAAAATGGCGGCTTAGAATTCCACCTTCGACAAAGAACTTTATACATTTGTAAAGAAGTGACAGGACAAAGGAAAGCAGTTTTAGGGTTCCAAGGGTGGCAAACAGTGGGAAGAGAAATATAAATACATGGGAGGAAACCATGGATGGATCCACTGGATAAGACTTGTTTGCAGGTTGCTCTGGTGCCAAAGCAGTGGATAACTCTCTCTCCAACAAAAGGAGAGTAGATACCCTGCTTTGGGGAAGAAAAGGGGGAGCTTTTTCTGGGTTTGCTGCTTTTTAATTGCCTTCAGCTCAAAATAATTTTTGTATCAAAGTGGCATATTTTCGGGGTGACATTCTGGTTCTTCAATAGAAAGACTAAACCAGAGTGGTCTGGGAAGGCCTTCATAAAATCAGGGGTCTCAACTCTTAGCAGGCACTATAATGTGCTGGCCAGTTTATGGTCTTTCTTAATTTTGTCCCCTGTGCCTCTTACAATAACATTATGAGGTAGGTATTATAATTAACCCACTCTACTGTGAGGAAACTGGGAACTAGATTAAGTAACTATTAAGATCACTTATTTAACAGATGCTAGAGGATTCAGGGCTGTAGCTCAGGCAGTTGATTTTAGAGCCTACGTTTTCTTTTAATTCCTCAAAGGAGGAGAAAGTATCAAGCCAGTTTGTGACCCCCTTCTGAGGACCTCAGTAATCTAGAGCAGAGGTTCTCAAAGTGTGGTCCCCAGATTAGCATCGTCTGCAGTGCCTGGGAAATTTTTTAGAAATGCAAGTTCCCAGGCCCTACCCAGACCTGAATCAGAAAAACACGTGGGTGGAGCCCAGGAATCCCCAGGCTTTCACATGATTTGGATAATACCTAGAAATTAATCAGAGGTTAATATCAATTAAACTTATTTTCCATGGGAACCAGAACCAGGTCTTCTTCTTCTTTTTCTTAATAGACTTTATCCTTTTAGAGCAGTTTCAGGTTCACAACAGAATTGAGCAGAAAATACAGAGAGTTCACACGTAGCCCTCCACACCCACACATATACTCCCCTACCCTCAACATCCCTCATCAGTTTGGCATATTTGGCACAACCGATGAATCACAGAACCAGTTCTTAATATTGAGCTTACCATAGGCCTCTTGTGACTCCACTGACTCCACCTTCCCAGCCCCTGCTGCAGTTCTGCTCCAGGAGGCAAACAGAGCTTCTGGGTCAGAAGTTGATAAAGTTACATCATCTCCTTCTCGCAGAGCGGGAGGCCCTTCAAGGGCAGGTGCCCCCTCCTCAGAGGAAGCAGCCACTTTAGGAGAATCAGTTCTATCAGAGGACATCTTTTTATCAGAACTTTCCAGCAGCAGTTCCCACTGGGCCATTTTTGCTTTCCTTCGTGATGCCGATAGGATCCTGGCCTCCTTTGCTGTGGCAGGAATGTCCTGCAAAGAGAGTTTGAAAGATTCAAGTGCTATCAGAAGTGCAGCCTCTGATTACTCTGTGCACAGAGCTGGCGAAGACTGAGGATGGGGGATGCTGTCCCTTGTTAGGAGTGAAGGGGGGAGTAGGGGGTAAGACAAATCCTTACTCACTTTTTGATGCTATTTTAGGTAATTAGGATTGAGAATGAAACCTCCCACCCTGCCAAATTCCCTACAAATTACTCACCTTTTGATGAGGGTAAGCATACTCGCAGAGTCGTTTATATCCCTCTAATTTCTAAGACGAGAGAAAAATGAGTTAACAATCAAAGTTAGGTTCATACTCTTCCTCCCAAGAGCATCGTCTCCCGCTCAGGACTCTCACCTGACCCTTGGTGCTCAGTTTCAATTGCTGGCACCAAGCCCGCAAAACATCTCGGTGAATCAGGTTGACCGGCGGCAGTTTAGAAGGTAATGGAGGAATTGGTATCCTCTTCTGAGATTTTACGCTGTCACTACATTGTGGCATCTCTTGTGGACAGCAAACTGAAGGAGAATGGGATAAAATCAGCAATAATTAACTTTTGTGTAGCCTTTTAAAATGTCAAAATTTCGATCACTTTTAGTTCACTTAGTCTACTCCCCACTGTACAGTTAAATGACTTGCCAAAAACCACAGGAACTCCAAGGGACAGAACCTCAAACCTATGACTGGCAATATTACTGAATTCCTCAGTTTTTACTTTCTAAAACTCCCCACCACTCACACTCACTTCCTCTTTTGTGAGAGTTTTAAACCACAGACTGAGGAAGGGAGGGTAAAGCTCAGTGGTAGAGTGTGTGATTAGCACACACGAGGTTCAACCCTCAGTACCTCTGTTAAAAAATAAACCTAATTACCTACCCCCCTCAAAAAAAAAAATTTAAACCACTTCTCCAAGGAGGTTGACCTAGAGATTGCACTTCCAATGCTGGGAATGATAGAAGCTTTAGACCTGAGATCATAAATACTCAGCGATGCCTTGCCCTCTCACCACAAAACAAAATAAACCATCCAGCAATGCTACACAATCACTAATACCCATAATTCTGGCAACCCACCCCCATCAGAGCGAACTCCAGTCTCACTACAGGCAGGTCTCCTTCTGCTGCTCCTCACACATTCTCACCACTCGGAAAAGACTTGTGGAGCACACAACAGACACAACTACAGTGGCACTAATAGTTGCTTGGTCTACTGAGTGCACATTACTGTCAGATAGAGTATAGGTGGTTTACCTAATTATTCTGTGTAAATTACAACTGACCATCCACCCTGACCTCAACCTGACTCAGCACGGTAGCTATTACCCTTAGTTTTTAGAACAAGAAGTGGAATTTCAAGGATGAGATTTCAAATTTATAGCTGTCTGTCCCCAGATCATTGCACATTGAGATCCTTACCTCCCTGCAGCTAGAGAAGGCAAAATAATGATCAGAACCAGGAGGTAAGATTTAAGCTAGGCTTCAAAGAAGTGTAGGATTTGCAGAATACAGGATGGAGATTTCTCCCATATTTTTTCTACTTTTTCAGAAAAATCCCTCAGTCTTCTTAGACCCAAGGAAATAGGATTTGAGGATTTATGGATCTCTTACCTTCGTCATTTTCCCCAGATCTTTTTCTTTTGGTCCCCTTCGCTGAGTTTTTTGGTATCTTTGGTTCACCAGAAGCCCTCTGTTCGTCTTCCGCTTCTACTGACGTAGATTTGAATTTGCTGCTCATATATTCTTCCTCTGACTCCTGTGTGGAGTTCCCCTGGGGATAGAGGGACTGGTCAGTCATTCCTCTGGTGTTCCGCCCACCACATACACTACCTAGCTTAAGACATTTCACATCTAAGGCGCCAAGACAGTCACTGAACTCCGCTGGCAACGTGGATTCTTTTCTGGATATCATCTTAATACTCAAGTCTATTTATAACATAGGTAAGCAGTGATGGGGAAGTGGACGGCCAATTTGAAAGTATGAATAGTCTCTCTACATATAGTCTTACACACACATATATATACAAAAGAAGTAGAAGAAACTAGCTTCTGCTTTGAAGAAAGCCAGTACATACATCACCCATTACATCCATTAGCCCTCTCCTGGAAGGGTTTTTCCCCCTTTCCTCTTACCCTCCTTGACCTCCTCTGGATAAAACTTTTCTACACTATTGCCCCAAGGTCCAGCCACAAAACTCCCTTCCTTTCCAACCTAGTTACTTTGCCTGAAGGGATATCACTCAGCTCCACACACTCTACCCTCCCTTACATTCATAGTCTTAGACCTTACTTCTCTTTTCAGAATCTCACCTCAAGTGTGAGTTCATCTGGCAACCTTTTCGCGTCTTTATAGACCAATACAATCTACTACGTGCTGCTTCATTCCTGCCATTTAGTTGCAGTTTTACATTTGATTGTGTGATTTGATCAATGCCTGTTACTCCAATTATAAACTCCACAAGGGTAGAATTCCTTTTCCTTTCATTATAGGTACTCAATAAATATTGGTTAATTAAATCCAGAGAAACAAGAGAACAACAGTGCGGCTCTTTGATATCAAGAAACTAACATTTTTTGAGTCTCTATCTCCCATCAGGTCTTGTTCGACACACTCTTTATTCTTTCTTTTAACCCTCACAGCAACCTGGTGACAATTTATTACTTCGTTTTTCAGATGCAGAAGCTGAGGTTCAGTAAGGAAGGTTATGTAAGGAAGGGCACACAGGTAAGTATTTAAGATGGAGACTAAATTCCAGATTTGCTACTAAATCTAAATCCTATCACCTCCAAGATGGGAATAAGGGACAAATTAACATTTGTATCGCATTTTTACATCTCTATAGCAGGTTTACATTCATATTCAGATCTTACATTTGCATAACCCTTATGCAGAGTACTCACTTTGCGGCCTCACAAAAATCAATTAAAACTGGGAAGGCAAAAACGACCCGGTTCTAAGAAAGGAACCCAGGGAGCGCCCAGGCTTCCCTAGCAGAGTAGTTCAGTTTTTCTGAACAAGCCCCACAGCCTCTCCAACTTCAATGCTGTCTGCAGTGCTCGTCAATATATCTGATTATTCCTCGGCCCTAACGGCCCTGGGGAAAAGCTGAATCCTGTGTCTTTAGAAGGTAAATTAAAGAATCACGTCCAATGTACCAGGGAGCAATCATATCCAGGACTTTACGTTTCCTTTCTTTCTTTTTTCTTTTTAACAAGTAAAGAGAAGGAAATTCTAAGACATTCTCTTCTCCACAAGAGGGATTAAGTGTGCTCCACGGAGAGAGAAAGGAAGACTCACAAAGACAGACAAAAATAAACCCATTCAAATTGTATTTACCTCCTTGTCGTCTGTGCTCTCCATACTCAGAAAAGAAGTCAAGGTTGATAAAACGAAGATTCTCCTTACTTCCGAAATGACCCCGGCCCAAGACTGCTCTTTTAAAAGGCTCCTCCTACTTCCGCCACTCTCAGGCACTTTCCTTTAGCTCCTCCCCTCCTGTCCCTCCCCCGCAACTTGTGAACGCTAAGCTTCTGTACTTACTTACTCATGAGGTGACTCTTGCATGAATGAGTACATAGTAACATTCCTGGCCCTTTTCTATGAGTTTTTTTTTTAAGCATAATTACTGATGATGTGGTTCCGGAGACACTGGGAAGTTGAATACTCCTTCAGAAAAATTAGAGTCAAAGGAAAGTTACTAGAGCCTTCTGAATAGGATGTGTGAAGGGATTTAATGATGGAACTTGAGGAAACCGCAGAATTCTGGGCCAGACCTGTGGCTTGAAGAAAGTAAAACCGTTTTCATGTAACATACACATTTCATTTCTCAAGCAAGTTACTCAACCAATTAAAACTTCAGTTTTCCATCTGTACTAATAGCTGGCAACTTCCCATCTGCCGGCAACTAAACATAATAGTTTTAAAAGTCCACTGAGTATCTATTTCGTACTAAATTCTGGGTTTAAAAGTTCACAGCCATTATTTTACCGTTCTTTGTTTCATAGATGCCAAAGCTATGTATAAAATTGTGTTGGTAACTTGCTCAATGGCACAGCAGGTGAAAACCAGAAATCAAGTTTAGGTCCGCCTGATCCTGCCTCTCCAGCCCCTAACTAAACAAGGTCAAGATTCTTTTCTTAAAAAATAGTTTGAAAAATGCCTTCTCAGATCACTCCTCCCTGCCAAGTTGTTGGGATCAGAGATGGGAAGTGTAGTGATTTCCTGCATTAATACTGGCAACAAGGAGGTGTGGCTCAAGCAGTAGAACACATTCCTTGAATGTATAAGGTTGTGGGTTCAATCCCTGTTAACTCTGCAAGGAAAGAAAGGACCTGGGTCTATGGGTTTCAAACCTTCTATTGTCAAATCAGAAGGTCCATTTTGTGCTACTTAGCTAAAATGATGAAGAAGAGATGATCCTTACCCAAAAGGGAGGTGATAATCTATTCACAGGATGTATGTGGACATAGGAAGTAAATGAATGGGACCCAGGAGTACAGAAGGAAGTATAGCAGTGGACTGAGCAAAGCCCCATAGCACCAAAAGAGGAGAGCTGGTATTTAGAATCCAGATCCTTTGGGAGATTGTAGCGGGGATTTGTCTGATCAATTCTTTAACCAGGCTCATAGACGACAACTGGTTAACACTTACTAGTTAAAGTTTATACATAAAATGCTTGATTGAAGGATGTTTCTTTTCCTAGTGAAACTGAAGTTCACATCATTGAGTTCTAAATTAAAGCCTATCTGACGAGCAGGGTATAGCTCAGCAGCAGAGTGTGTGCCTCGCATGCACAAGGTTCAATCCCCAGTACCTCCATTAAAAATAAACAAATAGAAACCTAGTTACCTCATCCCCCTAGAAAAAGGTTAAAGGAGAAAAAAAAAGGCGTCTAATCCTGGACAAGGTACAATCTATAATTGTGTGTTAATAATAATTTATTCATAATAATTGTGCATTGAGATTATAATTTAGGAATTCTTAGGCCCACCACCATTTGAGGGAACACAATTCTAAAAGAACTGCACTAGCCATTCCAGAAAAAGATGGGTTAACTTATGACCTATAAAGAGAATTAGTAAGTACAATATAAGTTAAAACATTTGATCATAATTGAAAATAATACTATGAGTTCTTGAATGAAGCAAAAGCCAAATATCTTTTTATCAGGCTTATTGGAGTTGTGGTAATTTATACGCAATCTTAGGCAAAGAATGATTTATTTGTGTTTTTTTTTAATTTCTCAAATGTAAAATAGAAATAACTATAAGTTTATTCTGTTTTTTAGTGAAATAACTGATGCAAATAAATTTGTGTAAAATTTTGTACAAATATTTAGTAGTCAAAAGAAAAACTATTGCTTTTAAAAAATATTTTTAAAATAGTATTAAAATGTCAATACCTAAAGTTCTATGTGTAGCTCAAGTTCAAAAATATTCATAATTGGATCTCTCACTCATTTACTGAACAAAAATGTATTGAACATCCACTGTGTGCTTGGCATGGGACATAACTGATACGTAAAAGCAGATAAGGACCTTGCCCTCCTAGGCTTATAGTTGCTAGGGAGGACAGACATTAAGCAAAAAATATCAGTAACTAATAATATAAGTACATGTTCTTTTACATGATTTAAAAATTTTTATGTTTATTTATATGTATTATGCAAACAAACATAAACTATCTGATTATGACACTTGAAAAGGAGGAAAACTCCCTA